AGAAGTGAATGTTATAGGTTGTGACAGTGAACTTTGTTCAGTGTTATTTACTGTATATGTGCTGCTGTTGGTCTGTTATATACTTTGGGTATATACCGTCATTTTGTAAATGATGTTATTTCGTATATCTATGGAAAGTATATTTATATCATATATAAATTCCTTTATATACATTCTATTATTTACATTAACGTAATCTTCCAGAAGGCAAAATTTTAATGCTATAAAACAATATGGTCAGAATATCAAGATCTTCGCGTTTGGTAAGTATAGCAGTAATTAAACTAGATTGCACTGAAAGAGAAACATAGTGTTGAAGCTGAAATATTCGAAATTGTGTGGCTTATTCAAATTCAAAATGCTGTAACATGGTAGAAACTGTTGCTGGTTAAGGAATACATTTAATTAGACTTAACGAAGTATTTGCAGATTTCATAACTTTGAGTAGAAGGAGATTATTGAATTATTTAAGTAACTTTAAAATAGAATATATTGGATTTGCAGGATTAAACAATTTCTAAAATTTTTGGATCTTACTGATTTTTAAAGAAATTGTTCAGTATAGTGTGACATTTTGTATTGGTTGCAAGAATATAATTTTGCATTTAGAAATGTAGCTTTAAATTACCCAAGTTGAAATGTTATCCTTCCAGTGTATGAACCCCAGTGTTAGGAAAACCTGTCAATGCTTGTAAGGTTGATGACCAGGTTTCAATAGGAGAGACACGGTATTTGTGGTCAAATTTATTGAAGTTCTGCGTACATTTTCTAAAAACTTGCTATTTTTGTGGTACCTTACTTATTTGCTTACTGGCCAAGTGCATCTTGGAATACCACAATGTGGCTTTACATATTTGTGTGAGTTGTTATCAAAATGCTGTATTTTTTTGTGTCTTCTGAATGCTCTAACAAACTGAGTTAGCCCATTTGTGTTTGCTATCGAGATATTTTCTTAACAACTGAAACTATCACATTCTTCCCTTCTCACAAACAAGATCCTTCCTCTAGGTTTTTTCTGAGTCTTTGTAAGACCACTTTTTGGGCGCCAGGTTTTATGTGGTAATCCAATTTTTGCATTTTCGGTAAACAGGATTT